CAGCTGGTTTTACACACACTGATGTAAAACTGAGTGTGGGTCAGTAGCCTGTTTGTCTGTTAGCAAAATATCTCATGAACCATCACACATTAGTTAATGAAACTTTTAGAAGTGAATGATGTCTGTCTGTCACAGCTAGTTAACATCAGACAATAGAATAACTTGGTCAGTTTCACAGATATTGAGCTAAATTTCACAATGTCATTAACAACATATGAAAGTAATGACATTAATATTATTTCTAAAATTTAACCACATTGGTTTTGTTCTTTTTGTTTCTTAACAAATGCCAATCTTAGTCTAAAGTGTGATGTTTATTCCTTCAAAGAATGCTGGGCCCTCTTTTTTTCTTCTGTTTTCACTCAAACTGGTTGAAATGGTGTGAGTCCAGTTTAACTCCATGGTGTGTGTGGCTCTGTGGAAAACATAATGCAGCTGAAGCTCAGGAAGCTGCTGCTTCCTCAAAGCCTTTTCAACAGTAAATGGCGGGCAATGACAAATTTGTGAATGGAGAAGAAAAATTGTGTTCATTGTTAAAATTAAACCACACAATGACGTACCCTCGGCATCCTCCAATCCAGACAGTAATGGCACACATCTTCGACCAATAAAAACAGAGACCACATCAGCGAACAGCCAATCACAAACTGGTATGCAAATAAGGAATTTGTCTCGGCAAGAGCTGAATGTCAACTAGTCAAAGATGGAGTCCGGAGCTGGAAGGCCGTGCGGGTGCCAGTGACCGGAACACCGCTTCATGGAACCGTTCCGCCTCTCAAAAAACTGTCAGCGGCTCGCGCGAACGGATCCTGCACACTGAGGGACGACGGACCGAACAGGAGGGCTTTTATTTCTCAAATCAGTTCGCCAACCTGCTTGTGCTTGTGGAGCTGGAGGGTATGGACCGGCCCTATCTTTCAGCGGAGCCTTCATATCCGCGCGGGGYGGACACAGAAAACCACCGGTGGACAGACGTGGGTGGCCGTGGATGTGACGGGCTGCGTGGAGCTTCCACAAGCCCTGAGCTGTATATGTCCATTGTGTTGTGTGTGTGTGTGTGTGTGTGTGTGTGTGTGTGTGTGTGTGTGTGCGCGCGCGCGCGCGCGTGAAAGCAAACGCGTACACATTTGTGAGGGATGAAATATAAGCGTGCGCGTTTCTGACAAATTTACTGACGGGTAGGTGCTGTGCAAGGAACCTATTCCCTTTAGAAAAAGAGCACCAGAGGAGTGTGTTTTTCCTTTTCTTTTTTTAAATTTATTTATTTATTTATTTATTTATTTATTTGTTTATTTATTTATTTGTACTGTAACATGTGTGCCATTTTTTCAACATTTAATTTGTTCATTCTTTTTTCTGGGTTAAAGTAGGCTACTAATTTCTCCAGAAATCTTTTAAAAAAATTACATTATAGAAAGAGCAGTGAACCTGAAGAAATCACCATTTGTCTAAATACTGTCAAATTTATTTCATCCACATTTTTTGGCTTTTGTATTTATCGTCATCTTTTATTTATTGGAGTGCTTATTGATAAAATCAAATCCAACTAAATAGCTACTGTACAAATAAAAAAAAATACTGCACAAATCAAAAATAAATTCTGCACAAATCAAAAATAAATACTGCACATAGTATTAATAGAAAACTGTAACAGTTTAATGCATTGACTGGTGCTTATTTTTTTCTTTCTTTCTATATGAAAACACCTTAATAAAAACTCATTTTACAGAAAGAGAAGTGATCCTAAATCATTGTTTTACTAAATACTACAAAATTCATTTTTATACTTTCAGTATATAGAAAACAAATTAATGATAACCAGCAAATCCTCATACATTTCCAAAGGATGTAATTATAGTGGTTTTATGTGGCCTGAAAAAAGATTTAAAAAATTAGAATAAAACCAGTAAGTTTTATTTAGGGTTTTCAAGGAAAAAAAAAAAAACAACAACAAAAAATACTCTGAGCTCAGTATTTTGTCTATAGTTGCACATATGGTTTACCTTGCTGTGAATGTGGCTTTATTCAAGTTAGAATAGTCAAAAATATAAGGAACAAAGTGTAATCTGTTGGAGACAGGCTACACTGTCTTAATGGTTAATTAAACAGGTTCAATGTAAAGTGACACTGAGAGGAAAATTCAGACTGAACAGCCTTTGGTGTATTGCCTGTTGTGGTTTGGATGACATGGACTATTTTTGTTTGTATGATTTTGTTCTGGTCTTTAAAATCATCTTATGATGAACCTGGAGAGAAAAATAAGCTCCTAGTTCATTGGAAATAACATTACCCAACTCTCTGCCCTTCCACACATTCCCCACCCCTTGGTTTCCTGGAGTTTCACATTGCCACTTTGGCTAAAAAGACAAGAATAGCAGCTGTTAAATAAAAGTTTCTGGTGTTGTATCACGGAAGGTGCTCTTTGCCCTATATATGTTTTCTCCACCCTCACTTCCTCCCAGCAGAACCGTGTTCACTGCTTGTTTTCAGAGACGATGCAGTCCACTGAGCTGTTTGTCCTTTTTTATCAGAGTTCACTATGTTTCCATCGGGCCTGTACACCACACCACAACCACACTTGAGGCTTTTTAAGTCTGTTTTTAGCTGTTCATGGCTGTTGCTCTGTTTGCAACATGTTGGTGATGGATAGTTACGTTAAGCTCACGTGGAGGCTGCAGCCTCTGCCACTGACTCTGTTTGGTGAGGATGGAAGTGACAGCTGAATGCTCTGTTTCTCAATAGACTTGGATGTGTTGAAAAATAATGTGTTCTAAAGCTCTTTTTCTGTTGTACTACTGTGAAATCAGATGAGCAGTGCAATATTAAAAGGGCATTGGCTTGCACACATTACCACCATGCTACCCCCCTTTCTCCAGTTCCCATCCTCTTTCTCAATTACTGTATTCACAAATATTCTTCCAACATAAGATAGTGTAGAATTTAGATCTGTGTTGGACCCAAAGCTCAGACCGCCAATGGAAATTGGTTGTGGAACGTGCTGGTTGTGTTTGTGAGTGAAGCAACTTGCAGAGGTCAGCTGCTTTGACAATGTTGCACTACTGTACCATCTACTAAAGCAGTGCAATAATATTGTCATAGCATTCGGCCTTTGGCCTGCGCTACAGCAGCTGGAGGGCAGATGATGGTGAAACAGTGAAAAACAGCAGATTCTTTTTTTAACTGTAAGATGCCTTCAACCCGTAGATGCCAATCACATGATGCTCAGCAAATCTTTATAAAAAGATGCTACTTAGACAAGTTGGTTTCAAATGTCTAAAAAAAATCATGTTTTRGTTATTTATGTGTACGTATGAGTGTTTTTTGTTTTTAATTTTTTATTACATGTTTTATGATGCAACCAACATTTTTCACCCACAAAACATTTTTATTTTTATGGTAGATTTGTAAAATTTAACAGATAAATTGTAAAATAGCCACAGTTTTGTCCTGAATATTTTTATATATATAATATTAAAAAATATTCAGGACAAAACTGTGGCTATTTTACAATTTGTCTGTTAAATTTTACAAAACATGACACATTAAAAACTGCTTTAGTTTAGCAGAACATTTGATCTTTTTTTTAAAGTAGGTTACTTAAAAATATGCCTGTAACTTGTATATAAATAAAAATCCCTGCATATGTATAGTGTTGTTAATGCGTGAGTTTCTATAGAAACACATATCTGCATACACATACACACTCATCCTGACAAAAACTTATCATTTTTATCTAACGTGATGGATTGACTATTATGGCTTTATTATTTTGACTGGTATTTGCAGTTTAATAAGTTTAATAGAAGTTAAAATTTTACAGAACTCGTCAGTCTATTGAAAACTGAAAATTTGTATTTTTTCTTAGTTTTAAAATAAGTGTAAAGGCATTCAAAAGGAAACCAATTTTAATCTTAAACTGGGTTTTTAGTGTGTCATGCTGAACTGTAACAGTTCAGTGAAGCTTAACAAGTAAAAAATTAGCCTGGAATCAGCAAGTCAGTGACATGGTAGCATGTCATTTGTTTTGGAAACTGTTAGAACCAGTGGAGGTTACAAAGTTCAGAGGTTCCTCAGACAGGAAGAAGAGTGTGGCTTTTTTCTTCATCTGCACCATTATCATGCTGTATTTTACCCTGTAGGATATGGGCTACCTGGACCACACCTCCTAAAAAAGAACATCATGTTCACAGAACTGTACAGGTTGTCTAGGTTTGCTCTGCAGATCATGTATCCGATTAAAAAACAAGTTATTGAGTCAATCTACCAAACTTTTCTCACATGTGTTGCTACATGCTGACCCAAAATATGAAATAATTTTTAGTCAAAACTGCATCAAATGTAATTGTAAGTCTTCTTTGTCCTCTTTCAGTTATCAGGATTCAACTTGTGACTGAATTAAAAATGATAACCGTGGCATCAGACATGAAATGAAAACACAGTTTAACCACAACAATTATATTTTTGGTAAGCCTAGMATATGTAAATCATAAACTGTACATTTATATGTTATTATTCTGTGGAAGCTGTTATATTGTTTTAAGTTAAATGAAATAATATTTTTGAAATGTAAATGTAAAAAAAAAAATTAAAATATTTTAGATCTTACCATGCTGGCCATTTCCAATATAATGACACTTGTGGATTTTTTTTTTTACCCAAACCATAAAATCCAGTCATTGTATAAAAAGGCTGTGTTGGATTTTAATAAGTTAAAAACACAGGACAAAATATATAATAAAAATGTCTTATAAAATATATAGGCAGATTGTAATTACACAGAATAAAGCTGCATTCTGTGTGAATGTGTGTAGCACTGGGAAATCCCCCCTCCCCCACCGTGTTCCAATCAGTTTTTCTAAGCGTAATCTGAGTGTGCAGGCTTGAAGAAGTCACCGCGTGGGTGGGAAAAATGGGAAAAGTTTCCTTTTGGGACAGGTCATATGGGGGATGGGTCTCTTTACAAGGAATGTGGAGGGCAGAATGCTGGAAGGGAGAACAGGAAGAGTGTTGGAAGGTTAGGGCTCATCGTTCTCAGTCGCCACATTTGTGCATGTTTGTGTTTGCACTGGACACCATAGCATCATATTTACCACTGTTTTAAAGTGTCTGTGTTGTTTGGGCATTTTTGTGAGGAAAACTGTTGTACTGAGAGGCTTTCTTCCTAAAGGTCCTGTCACACTAACGTTTTTGACAGCTTATGCCAAGTTACAAAAAATTTGTCCAACACTAGACTAAAAGATGGGAGTTAAAAAATCTACTGAAAGCCTCTTTTGAACCTTTAAATACTGTTATGCTAACAAATAGATCAAATATATAGCCAATATGAGTAAAATAGTCCTAACAAAATTTTCTCAAGTCAGTTGYCTAAAATGTTACAGTGTGACGGGGCTTTATTTAGAAGCATGGTTTTGGAGTTATTTTTATTACAGAACATGGAAATGTAATTCAGAAAACATTAAACTAATTCGATATGCACCTTTTTTAGTGATGGCACGATGGAAGAGTTGTTTCTTCTCAGTGAGAAGGTCATGACCTCTGAGAAGAAACAACTCTGGGTTCACAACCCAGCCTGTGGCCAATGTGGGCGGAGTTTGCATGTTCTCAGTCTGTGTACATTCAGGCAGTTCACTTTTTCATTTGAAAAAACAAAACAAAACAAAAAAAGCACTTGTTTTTCCATTTTTTGTTTATTGAACCAAAACGAAAAAACTGATTATGGGTCAGTGTATCTTTTGGTCATTGGATTTTCATTTTGGAAATGGGTATTAAAAAACAAGAAACGAGCGGTTATTTGATTTGTGTTTAAAACACTGAAATAAAAATTAAAATACAATGCGTTTCTCATTCTTAGTGTCAAAAAGGGATAACAATTTTTTTAAATGACTTGAGTTTCATTTTCTGTTTCAGATAGCAAAAAAGAAAATAAATTTAAAACAGAAACGAAAAAAGGCTCGATTGTTATTTTACGTCTATCTATTCCCCCACCAGAAGGGGCGCTCACCTGACAGCTCTGCATAATGAAACACTAATTTCTGTAAATAAAAGACTGAAACACAGAGAAGTGTCCATAAATGAGTTGTATGATGACGATCTGTGACCAAAGACTGTGCAGAGATACTTCATGTGGCTTTTGGACAAAAAAGTCTCTTTTACTGAATACATTTCGGCTACTGCCTCCACTTCACCTCCATTTCTCTCAATAAAAAGCAAAACAAGACAACTTTCATTTTATTAGTGTGTTGTACAGTTGTTGTTCTGCGAACAGAAAGATTTTTTCCCCTCCTGAGGTTTGACTAAATCTGTTTTTTTCTGTCAGATCGCGTCCTCAGAGTGTTCCTTYAAGTGAAGGGTGAGCRGTACTACAACTTTGATATYGATCTGATACCAAATAAATACTTGGCAAATATATTTGATACCTAAGTCAGTATCAATGCTTTTTACTTGTAATGGGATGTTTATTGAATAACTTTGATATTGCAGACACGCCTTCTGGTGGTGAAACAGATCATTTTAGGGTTATAGTAATTTGTCATATTTTGCTTTTTATTGAGAGAAATAGAGGTGAAGTGGAGGCAGTGGCTGACATGTATTCAGTAAAAGAGACTTATTTGGCCAAAAGCCACATGAATTACCTCTGCAAAGTCTTTGGTCACAGAGCGACAGTCATCATACAACTCATTTATGGACATACTTCTCTGTTTCAGCCTTTTATTTACAGAAATTAGTGTTTCATTTTGCAGAGCTGCCAGGCGAGCGCCCCCTGTGGTGGGGGAATAGATAGTTATAAAATACAAATAAACAAGCCTTTTTCCATTTCTGTCTTAAAGTAATTTTCTTTTTTGCTATCTGAAACAGAAAATGAAATTCAAATCATTTTTTTAAATTTCATTTATCCCTTTTTGATACTAAGAATG